TCCTTTCACAGACCCACAGGCTGATCACGGAAGTCTCCCTTGGAGCTTTGTGTCCCAAGCCGTGGACTCAGCTCCTGGGGCAGCCACGACAAACAAACAGGGGATCCAGCGTGCTTGCGGCAGCGTGCTTGCGGCAGCGTGCTTGCGGCAGCGTGCTTGCGGCAGTAAGGACTAGATTCTAGCAACTTCCTTAACAAATACCTGCCCAGTCCTCCTCAGGCTCTGCAGTGGACTGAGGCGTTAGGTGAGAAGCACCCAATGGGTGTCACTCAGTTATCATCACGATTATCTTGAAGACATAAAAATACTGAGCAGGGAGACATCCTTCTCCTGGGCTCCTTGGCTAATAAGTGATTAGATTTGAAAGAGTATCTTCCACTAAAAAAAAAAAAGGCAGATTAACATTCCTGCTTAAAAAAAAAAAAGCCAAGGCTCTCAGAAATGAAACACTGTGGGTTCGTTACACAGTGAGGATTAATTAGCTGTTGGGTATTATTAAAGGCTCCCACTCTCAAGACCCACGCGGAATCGGGTACTGTGGAAACGAGCGAGGGGTAATCATGGTGGGGGTGGGGGGGGAACACAATGGCTGGCAATGCAGACTATGTTGTTAAAGAACAGTCTGATGTTGCATTGAGTGCTTTCTGTTTGGGGTCACTGTTCTGAATCCATCTGTGGTTTTTCAGGGCTGCCGGTGGTAGTGTTTCATATTTTTTTTTTGCTTGTTTTGTTGTTGTTTTCGTCTTTCTCCACCAGGATCAAAAAGGAAGGGAGATGGCCTTTTTGGAGCTTTAAAGAGGAGAGAGTGGGCATGTGGATATTTACATGAAACGGGTGCTATTTTAAGGCCTCTGAGTGAGGAGTGGAGTGAAACATGGGTAAAATAATTTTATAGCAAATGTGTCTCCTAAATTGTTGTAATTATGGCTCACATTGTTGAAAAGTAACAGAAGCTCAAAAAAAAAATCACAATTCGAAGGGGAGGGTTGATATTAGAATCCAGTGACCACAGACCCTGGTGCTTTAACAAATCCCGGAATCAAGTGTCAAAAATGCAAATTGGGTCTCAGAATGAGAATTTTTCCAACCCTCTGCTTGGCGACTTGAAAATAGGGAGAAAAAATGGAGCGTGGTGTCCAGTTCCACATAGCTGGTTACCAACAACTGTGGTTAGAATTGTTACTTTCTAACTGGCTGCTACACCGCAGGGCGTCTGTCAGGGTGGTCTGGACTCATTTCATCGTCTTGAGGCACACAGTTGATCTCTGCTCTGGTGGGGATGTAAATAGGCCTTCTCTCCTCTGTCACTCGGGTGGTGCCTCCAAGGCTTAGGCGTAGATATCTGGAACCCCATTAGCAATGGGAAACCATAGTGGGCACTACAGATGGCCTCTGAAAAATTTCATGCATGTCGCAAACAAAGGCAGATGTATCAGTTAACACATTAAAAGATAATTTCAGAGGCACCAAAATCCATTGATGTCACATTAAGAAATGAAAACAAAGTACTTCCTCTTGGAATAATTTGATCAAGACTGAGCCTAAATTTAAATTCTTTTCCCTTCCTCTCCCTGTATCTTCCATCTGTCTGTAGCTTGTGGTTACTGGTCTGTCTGTTGTATGTGTGTGTGTGTACATATGCCTGATGTCTGTCTGTCCCTAAAAAGGGGGCGGGTCTTCTTTGTCCTTATTACACTGCACAGAAAATGTGACATGGGAAACAGAAGAGAGAAACTTTACAGAAATATTTAGCAGAGTCTTACAAGGGAAAAAGTTACTAGTCCCAGCTGACCCAGAACAGCAAACACTACCACAAACAGACGTTACCAGCTTATATCAATTTTGCTTTCAACATTTACGTGGCGTATTTGCTACTTAAGGTAGTTTCCACCCCATTGGCTGCTTCCAGCAAATAATTACCATGACACGCACAGACAGACACATTACTCTGGGCCCAGGGCATGGAAAAGTATATGACCTAAGATTGACTATGTTTTAGTTTAGGTTCTAAAAGATTACTATGTGGGCAATCCAAGGCATGGTAAGATTGTTTACAGTGCTCTCTTACAGGTAGGTTAAATGTAAACAGGCCAAGTACATAAAGTACATAGTAGAACAGCAGGTTAAGCACATACATAGTTTTCAATGATCTCAAGGTCTATTAACTTTGCTTCAGGGTCTGGAAACGTTCAGTCCTTTTGAAATCAAGGGGTATTTTCAGAACAACGTATCACTACAGGCAGATGTCATGACAGAATTCAGGGGCACCTAATCCATTTGTTTCCCTCACGGGACTGCCTTGTCCTAAGGGACAAAAGGCATTCTTAATTCCTGCCCTGTTTCAAGCAGGGTGCTTAGTACTTTAATCCACAAGTAGCCTGTGGAATGAGTAAAACAGAGTCAAAAGAAAAACATGACTTCCATTGTGTGCCTATAGCACAAAGAGGGATGCTCTCTCAACCTGGACTCTTAGGGGGAGTGCCTCAACCTACCCAGAGTGAAATGACAGACTCTAGATATCCCCTATGTGGAAGGATTTGGCAATAGGGTGGGAGGGTGGGGGGGAAGGGGAGTGCGGGAGGAGGGGAGGGAGAGGGAACTGGGATTGACATGTAAAACAAGCTATTTAAAATTAAAATAAAAAATGATAAAAAAAGAAAAACATGACTTCCTCCTCTCCCCCCCACCCACATAGGCCTATTACCAATGAGGGTAGGAAAAGTGGGGTTGGCACTGGTGATGTGGTGGTGGTGGAGGACGGTAACACTAAATAGACTGCTGACCTGGAGTGCTCTTCCTGTGCCAGATACTACACAGGTGCAGCTCCTTGCCTCACACGCATGGTGTCTCGTTGAATCTGCACCAGAGCTTTGGTGGACAGTGACCACTGTCATCTGTGTTTTATAGATAAGTCACTGCAGGTACAAGGTGTCAAGTCGAGCGCCCACCACAACCAGCTGGAGAGTCAGACTTCTAACCCAATGCAGCTCTCTGGGACTATCCACCATTATGCTTCTCTTCAGTCTTCCAAACATCTGCACTTTGACCACAGCAGGGCAGGTCAAAACCTCCCCAACCTGTTCTGATACAAGGATGGGGGAGTGGCATAAAAAACACAGCGGGCAAGTGTGTGAGCTCTGAAGGAGCCCAACTAAAGACCTGGGGTCCCTTAGTACGGGAAGCCCCAACAGCCCAGCCCTGGCCCAGCCGAGTGTGTGAAAGAATTTGATGGAAAAAAATGAATGAATGAATGAGCTGATAAAGGCACACAGCGATCAGCAGTGCTCACTTTTGCTTGTGTACCCAGAGTGAGACCCTTTCTCATGCGATTCATGGCTAACCCTCTTTCAGGTTTGGTCCTCTGACTGGCAGCTGATGACTGGAAGCATGGAGTTTACATTTCTAAAAGTCCTGTGGGGTTAGAGCTGGTCCCAACATGTTCTTACTTTACTGTTTACGCTGAACAGATTAAAAACAAACCATCCCTTGTTAAGCCACCTTTACCTGCATCTAGAGCAGTGGTTCTCGACCTGTGGATCCCAACCGCTTTGGGGGTCAAATGACCCTTTCATGGGGGGGTATATCCTAAGACCTTTGGAAAACACAGATATTTACATAACAGTAGCAAAATTACAGTTGTGAAGTAGCGATGAAATAATCCTATGGTTGGGGTCACCACAACTGAGGAACTGTATTAAAGGGTTACTGCATTAAAGGTTGAGAACCGCTGCTATAGAGAGTCTTCTCTCAGTGCTGGCCTGTGTGTACTAGTGCCTCCTCCTGAGGCCTTTCCCGGCCTCCAGAACCCAATCCCGTTCCTCTTTAACGACTCTCTAACTGCATCTGTCCGTCTGTCCGTCTGTCTAACTCTGTAGAGGGAGGGCCATTTGAGTGTGGGTGCTGTAATGACCCTCTCCTTTCCAGGCTGTGCACATCTGGAGGTACCCAAGGAGACCACACAGACTGAGTGTCTACACGCATGCTGAGTGTAAGAGCCACAGGGGGAAGACCTTCGCCTTCACCCATTCCCAGACAGTAGGATTCTGGCCAGTGTCACAGGCAGAGAATGAAAAAGAAACTCGCCTGACTGAAGTTAAAAAAGATTAAGTGAGTATTGTGTTTTGAATGCAGTTTCTCCCAAAACCTTGCATGTTGGAAGGCCTGGTCCTCACATGGTGGAGTATCTAACCCCAAAAAGGTTACAGGATGAAACAGGCTCTCTTCAACCATAGTCAATCTGTTGTGGGGTTCATAATTTGGGTGGAATTATTGGAAGATGGGGCCTGGTTGGAGAGAGTAGGTCTAAGGATGTGTCTTGGGAGGGTATCTTGTCTCTGGCTCCATCCTGTCTGTCTGGGTCTTTGCTTTTGGACCACCATGGAGTGAGTCCCCTTTCCATACGCCAAACTGCCATTACCGCTTCCTCAGCACAGCCCGGAAGCAATGGGGCCAGCTGGCCCTGGACAAAAATCTCTGAAACTGTGGGCTATAATAAACAATACATCCTTCAAATAGTCTCTGTCAGTTAAAATCGCACAAGGACAACATCTGACGAATACAATAGCCACACAAGGTTCTGATAAGTGGCAGAGTTCAAACCCAGGTCAGTTAGATACGAACACTTGGGTTCTCAAGGGCAAATTTTCCACCCCTGTAGCCTTGTGCCCCTACAACACCAACTACAGAAGGTGTTCAAGACTTGCTAGATAATGTGAATAGACAGGCTAAGAATACAGTAACGTATGGCAGTGGCCATGTGGCAAGTCCTTAGGGACAAAGGAGCAGCATGGATTTGTAGTCATTAGGGCCTGGCGTCTTTCCCATTGCTCCATCTGTCACCAGACATGGTAGGCTGAGGCTTTGCCCAGTGCCTTCAACCACATATTATAGTTGTAATCTGCTGTTGTGATCGGCATATGCCCAACTTTGGGGGGGCATTCCCCTGCCCCTGGTGGCCCAGGCTGCCAAAAGGCATGGCTGGAACAGCCACAAAAACTCACCCGAAGGGTTGTGATGGTAGCAGGGTCCCGGAGTCGGCCCTCCTCATCTTTCAGGTTGTAGCCTTCCGGCCTCTTATCACGCTCACTGACTTTCCACAGCTTCACAGTTTTATCTGTGGAGGGCAACAGAAGTCAGGATGACAGTGCAAGGAAACTTTCTCTGGGGATGGGAGATGGGGTCTGGGCGGGGCAAGAAGGGCTATAGGAGCCAGGTCTTGAAAGTGCTGTCCTGCATCAATCATATGCCATCTGAAGGAAAGGCTCACAAGACAAAGCAGAAACACAGATTGTGTTGGGACAAATGGCTTTTGCTGATGATTCACCTTCAACATATACCTTACATTTTAACTTGACACATTCAATAAAAACATTGAATGAAGTTGAATAAGAATAGTCATATATAGAGAGTTCACTATGTAGCTGTTAGTGCATGTACGATTAATTTCGTGTTCATGATCACTCTGGACAGTAGCCATCTCTATTTTTAGCATCCACCCTTCTTAGACACTCTCCTCACCAGGCCCCCAGCAGCCCATCATAACCTTGCATCCTTGACTTCCTCAACCCTCTCACATTGCTGACCACCCTGTTATCTATTGTCTGTCTGTCTGTCTGTCTTTTATCTATTGTTTGCCACTAGAAATCTCTGGAGTTTTATCTGTCTTGTTCATCACTGTGTTTTCCGTATTTAGTGGTAACCTGGAGTGTAGTTGAGGCTCAGTAATATCAGTATCAATAACAAATAAATATTAGTTTGAATGTGAATGAATCTCCTCAGTAAGATTATACTTTTTTAATAGTCAGGGAAATAAAATGATGTAAAGATGAAGCAAAACGCTTTTATCAGGCTGGGGGGCATAACTCCATTGCCTAGCATATGTAAAGACCAGTCACTCCAGTCTCCTCTCCGCTCCCTCTGCCCTGCCCGCTCCTCTTTCCTTTCCTTTCTGTTCCCTTCCTCTCCTCTCTTCCTTCTCCTTCCCTCTCCTCTTTTCTCCTTCCCTCCCCTCTCTCTCCCCTCCCTCCCTCTTTTTCTCCTTGCTGCTTCCTGATAGTTTCCAACTATAAACTATAGTTTATGTTGTCCTATCATCATGCATCCCTTGATGACACCTGTCCTTTTCTATAGCATTGAAACAAAAATGAGAACTCCAATGCCTCCAGGTGCTGACAGCTTAAGGTGATGATGGAGGGGATTTGGGACTCTGGGGAACTGATGAGGCGTGCCCCACCCAGGCTTTCAATTCTATATTTTTAGAGAACATGTTTTGGCTAAGCGAGTCTTGTCTATGTGCCATATGGCCTCGAACACCTTCCTTATCAGATCACACGTTTGCAGTCTGTACTTGCCTTTCCCTTTCCTTCTGAAATGCAGGGGCACACTTGATTTCTCTGTATTTGTCTCTATTGGACAGGATTTGGTATGAGATACTGTAAGGCCCAGTCCCCACTACTGCCTTAGATAGCTGTTAGATCTCAAACCCAGGACATGAAAGGAGACTCTGGCTGCCAGGTTCTCCCAGCATCCTTTAGTCTTTACCTGGCTAGCACACCCTGTCTCTACCCTGAGCTCTCCAACCCTGGGGCTGGGATGACCCTTCTCCAGGATCCTCTGGCCCCTATTAGCTCAGCCATTTTGGCCGTGCCAGTCTCTGGTGGAGGTTGCCATGTCTTGGCCAGTGGCTCCTCTCCCTCTCTGTCTGTCCTCACATGGCCCGGCTCAGTCTAGCCATGTTCATTCCAGATTCTCCTGGATGTCTCTGCCTCTGTCTTTGGCTGTTTTCTCCCTCACATCTATAATAAATTTCTTCCATACCTAGGAAGAATTATGTCCTCCTTTCTCTTGCTCTACTCATTGAACAGCCACGTGGCCAAGGACTATGGTCTTTGTGAGAAGACAAAATAGTCCTGGAGAAGGATTGTGAGGAAACAGGGAAGTGCAGAATGCCCACTTAAATCTCAGCCTCAGTATACACACACCCACATATTTAAATATTACACAGTTGTCACCCTGTACTCATTTTATTCATAAACCGGCAGAAATGGTATCTTTCTTACGGGGACTTTAGGATGAAATGAATCAACATGTTTAACTGTGTTGGGCTTCTCAAAATGGAGTCTAAATAGTAGCTGTCATTAGAATTAGCATGCGGAGCCACAACTCTGCAGTAGTAAGAGGTTACTCTCTCGCCTTGAGCATCATCCTAGAAGGGTATCTACACATCTGACTCTTCTGGGGAGAAAAGCTGCCCCTTTAGACTGCTTTTAATGGGAGCCTTTGGTTTTCTGTCCTGTCTCCTTCCGCCACTGCTCTCCAGTCTCCACACTATCACGTCCTAACTGCCTCACCTGTGGGAGGACCACTCTTGCCAGCAAAGGCATGTGACCTCACAGTAGATCACAACTTCATGTCTTGTCCTGAGAGGTCTCAAAAGTACCGTGTTGTGGGTTGTCAGCAGCAATGGGATATTTTAGTAAAAACCCATCTGCATATCCCTGGGTATTATTTGGGCTTCCAAGCCTATCCTCTCATGTGTGACGAGGCTGCTCTTTTTGGGACCCATGCATTCTCATCTGTGCGCTCACCCTGGGCTTGTGCTGGGAGGACAGCCTTTCCCAGCTGTGGGCTTAATTTAGAAATTGCTAGCTCTGTGCTCTCATCCCTCTTGTCCCAAGTTCTCTTGAGGTCCTGTTCATGTGAAGCTGCCTTTTTAGAGTGAGAAAGTTAAACATGGACCACATTTATAAAGTCAGTTGATTTGCTCTTCATCAGTTGTGGCTAAGAACAACCTACAAGCCAGTGAATTTCTGTTTCTTGGCTTTGAAATGCACCCAAGTCTAGTTATTTGCAAGGCATTTTATCTTGGTATTTTATATTATAAATGATAAAGTGCCATAGAGAAAAATAGAAGTCACAGGTAAAACACGAGGATAAAAGTTGCCTATATGGCCTCCAGTTAGGGATAATCCATGGTCAACATTTTGTATATATTCTTTTGGATTTTTGGATACAGTCTCCTTATGTAGCTCTGGCTGTCCTGGAGCAGAGACCACCTTCATTTGCCTGCTTAGTGCTGGAATTAAAGGTGTGCTCCACATGACCATCTCCTGTGTAAACTCCTGTATTTTCTGTATGCAGTATTTTGGGGCAAGGAACTACAATAACATTATATATACTAAGTTATATATTAACAATTTTCCTTTTACTATATAATAGATACATGCCATTGTAATTGGAAAGTGAGAATGAGCAGAAAGGTTAGAAAAGATGAACTTGGACAAAGACTACTATGTACATTTTCTGTAGTCTTCCACTAGCTCCTTGCTTAACAAGCACTTTCTAACAAGCACTATGCTAGATAAGTGATGTTTGCATTTTGCCTATTGTATATTTATACCAACAGCTATCCATATACTGTATTTATAGAATCTATTACATGTAATATAGTACAGTACAGGATATGCAATTCATAATAAGAATTTGTTAACTAAAAGCCTAATGGTAGGAGACTGCTTGTTAAGCCACAGAAGAATCAAATCACAAGAGGAAATGATACACAGTCATTAAAACACAGAAGAGTCAAACCACACAAGGATGCATTGTGCAGTCATTAAAAACCATATGGTATTCTAATAAAATACCAGTTAGGAAAATATTCTTGTTGCTATATTATTAAATTTAAAAACCTGGCTTAAAAACACCCTATAAGGTAGATCATATTTCTGTAAACAGTACATCATTTACATCTTTTTCTGTAAAAGACACTATCAGTAGCTTTCTCTGAACCTGAACGTTCATATATTTTTTGCTTTGTGTCTGGGTCCTTTCTCAATTTTCACAATGAACACCACAGTGCTCTGCTTTTGTCACCATAAGCAGCCAGACAGAAGTAACCCAAGCAGAGTAATGTGTCTTTGTGTGGCAAAAACTTCAAGGTCTATTTCTCAATGGAATACTAGCTTTATTTTTCTTTAGAAGTTATGAAGTTAGAAACATATTCTAGCAGAATTAGTTACTATACTCAGCTAATGAGATAAGTACCACTTCCAAAAAGATAATTGATGGAGAATTCAATCCAGTTCTCCAAGGTTGTGTTGCCCGGGGTCATACTTGCCTTTATTATCACAGCATTTTCATTAGACTCAGAGTCTTGAAGCTCTCTCTCTCTCTCTCTCTCTCTCTCTCTCTCTCTCTCTCTCTCTCTCTCTCTGTGTGTGTGTGTGTGTCTGTCAGGGGGACTCCAAGGAACATGCAGCTGTTAAGAGAAATGGCTTTTCCTTTCTTCTGCCTTGTTCTCTGAGTAGTTTATCATCACTTGTGGCAGCTTTAAACACAACCTTATCATTTATCTTCATTTTCTCTTTTAGATAGTAATTCCCATCGCCTTCCATTAATTTTTGAATGTTAACCTATTTGGCTTAAGGGGGAGATTTTCAACCTTAATATTAGTACAGAAAAGAAAACCTTATAAGAACATGGGGATTTTTCTTAGAAGAGTCATTTTTGAGATGCAGTTGGCATGTGAAATAGCATCCCAAATGGGAAGATAATATCCTTGTTAATCAAAAAACTATTTAAAAACTCAATTAACAGAACATTATGCTATATAATTAATCTTCATTGAATTTCACTTTCTTTCCCATCCCCCCTACAAAGTAGTTAATAAGCCCTTAGATTTTATTGTAATAATCAATAGGCTAAATTTCATAATATAATGTAATCTAGCTATGGAAAGACAATCAGACACTTTTCCGCTACTGAAGTAATTACATCAAAAACCACCATAAGTCTCTTTCACAGTAGTGTGTAACAACAGAGTCTGTGAGTGACACTTGAACAGAAAAAAAAATCACAAGAGAATAAATGGAAATAAGATGAGGTGATGTGATTTCCAAGAGATCGGGGTTGCAAAGAGTAAACAGGAAAATAAATACAGTTACAAGAGGGATGAAATTAGCTAGAATCTTTAAAAAACATCAGAGAAGTAGAGACCTGATTGTCTTGAGGCGTGCTTGGATAACTCCCAAGCAGCTAATCTAGAATTGTCACATTTTAGATCTGTCCACTGGCTCTATATTTGAGGGATGGGGGATCAACTGCATTACATTTTCTCTCTTTTTTTTCTATAGGATTCACCTATGACTCACTGCACATACTTTGAAAGTTAAAACAACAAATGGAACAAATTTACCCACAATGCAGTCAAGGCTTAGTAATGGGAAGTCTTTTGCTGTGTCTTCCTCTTCTTCAAAAAGAATACATGCTTGGTTGTGTTAGAGACACTGCCTGCATTTTTTATTCTCCATGTGAGAATCCTAAGTGGTATTTCAGCATATATTCATCACAGACTCACACACATGACGAAATGGATCATTCTTCAACCTCTTTGCATGGGCCACGGTCTTTAATTTTTTTCTCTGAATCCTCTTGTTACCATTCCCCATGAGCATACTTTAGTAGTGATCGAATTCCAAACTGTTTTTTCACCCCCAAAAAGAGGTTAAAATCATGGAATGTTGGCAACTTCACTCATGGAGTGAATTCTGACCAGGGTTTATTCACCTGCCAGCACGCTGTCTTCTCTATTTATATCAACTCTCCCTAAACCTACAGGGCATGAAGAGTTTGAAGTCAGATAAAGAGACTATATCCTGAGCAGTTTCATGGACCTTCCCAAGCTCCTCTGGTCTTGCACTCCCAGTTCAGAACTTGATTTTCTCAGATACACAGACATCTGTTTTGCAGACCCCTAAAATATATTCAGGGATTAATAACTATTTTTCAAAATGCCGACAGCTTGTCGAGTTTCCTGAAATGCATTCCCAGAATAACATGGATGAATCTTAAGACAGGAAGTCACACTCCCCAAACACCTGCAAGCAATCTACTTTAGGAAACTGCAGATAACGGGTTCCACAAAAACTGGGTCATAAATTCGATGCTTATAAAAAGAATAGCTACTATTTACTGAGTCCAACTCTGTGTGCAACTTGAATTTTGCTAGGCATTTTGCAAACAGGATTTCTAAGATTTTTACTCGCCCATGAGGGATGGAGGAACATTGAGGCTAAGGGAGACATAGAGGTCTAGTTGACTGTCTCTGAAAATACCAAATGGGGGGAAAGAAGAACCTGCACATACCGTTGGTAGACAGAAGAAAATAAGCTGCATTCTGTTGAGGGAGCCATCTTATCTTATTGATTTTTTCTTCTATCTCTAAGCTCTTCAGGTAATCGAACTCGGGTTCATGGCTCTGGAATGTGCTGTAAACATTGTATTCACCCCTACGATGAACCTGGTTTTTACTCTGTAGGGCGGTAAAAACACACACAGAAAATGAAACAATTTAAAGCAAGTGCCAACTCTGTTTTTCCTTTGAGCAAAGCCATTGGGGGTGGGCTGGAAGGCTGCATCACAGAGTAGAGAGACCAAGATCACTGCAGCCGTAGATTCAGCTTAGTTTACTGATACCCAAAGCATGTACTCTGCTGGTAAATAACAGAAATCACACACACACACACGTAAATTGTATATTTAAACTATATTAACACAAAGTGTATATCATATTTATATATAGAAACAGAAGTTGCCAGGTGTGGTGGAGCACACCTTTAATTCCAGCACTCAGGAGGCAGAGGCAGGTGGATCTCGGTGAGTTCAAGGCCAGCCTGGTCTACAAAGAGAGTTCCAGAACAGAAAAAAAGAAAGGAAAAAAAAAAGAAGGAAAGAAAGAAAGGAAGAGAAAAGGAAAAGAAACAAGTTAAAATAGGACAAGATTTTGCATCAATACAAATAGATGATCTAATATGCGCATCTTCGTGCAGTTCAGGAAATGCTGAATGGTCCATTCCGTGGCGATGCTCACACATCCTTCTATCAGTCCCTATGAAAGGGGCAAAAGCTGTAGCAAATGCAACTTTCAATGCTCATGGAAGCTCTGAGACGTAGGTAGATGGACCCTGGAGGCTCAGAGACATACGTGACTCTTCTAAGGTCACACAGCACTCACGGAGCCAGCCGATTTCGGCATCAGTTCCTCCCACCTCCATTTTTTTTTTTTTTTTTTGTGGGGCACAGTGATGGAAAGGCCATCTGCACACGAGGAGAATGGCGGGCTTTCCCTGTGTCTTTCCCCTAGTGCTGACTATGCAAAGTGCAAACAGCAGGAACTAAACCCTGTGGCACAAAGCCAAGGGCCCGAGGTTATGGAAAAGGAGAAGGGGAGGAAAAGCCTCTTGCAGAGACAAAGATAAAAAGAGACAGGAGGGGAGACTGTATTTGCAGCTATTTCAGAACCTTGTTACCCAAGGTCTTGAGGTTTGGCTTTGAAAGTCTGTTCAAAAGTTAAAATTTTGCTGGGCGGTGGTGGCGCACGCCTTTAATCCCAGCACTAGGGAGGCAGAGGCAGGCGGATCTCTGTGAGTTTGAGACCAAGCCTGGTCTACCGAGCGAGTTCCAGGACAGGCTCCAAAACAATACAGAGAAACCCTGTCTCGAAAAAACCAAAATAAATAAATAAGTAAATAAATAAAATTTGGGTTTCACTAGACATATTTTAAATCAAAGTTTGATTTTTTTTTAAAGAAAAGGCTCAATTGAAACTATATGGTCTCAGGTAGACACAGGACACCAGAAGGTGTGTTGCAGCTCGCCCACAAGTGGCGATGTCTGCTGAGCCTGGAGGTGTGCAGACACTGAGGACTGAGGTCCTTAGGAGCAGTTTTTCTGGGAGTGGCAAGCTATTAAAGAGTCACTGGCCCCAAATGATGTCACTTGGCTTCTGTCAGGCAAGCCATGTATGCGTCTGAGCCCCAAACTCGGGTGAAGCTGTCACTGAGTCCCTTGATCCTCATCCTTGCTGATGCCCCTGTTCCAGTGAAGCCACCCCTGCTGCTTTGGAAGGTGTGCCCCCATCATTCTCCTGCTGAGTCGGGCTTCCCAGATCTCCCAGCAAAGGAAAATAGGTGAAACCTAAAAATAGCTGGCAGAAAATGTGGGGTGGGATATTACTGGCAACATGCGGCCTTGGGTAATTTATGCTAAATAGTTCCTCCAGTTCCCCTTAATCATAGCTGTGAACCTAATTGGATTTTTTTTTCAAATTGGAGACTTGAAAATCAGTTTTCAAAGGACTTTAGATGCTGACATCTTCGACACTCTCCTGTTTACTCACAGAGGACCAGTCCACCTTAACAAAAAAAAAAAATATCTATGAGGGCTGATTTGCTACCATCCAAATCAGACTGTCAAGTGTGTGTAGCATGTGCCAGACCAATTAGCACCAGGCAGCCCTGGAAAAAGCAGGAAAAATTCCAGGTCACGAAGAGCGATTTAGTTCTTACTTGCCAACTACATTTCCATGTTCCCGGGGCCAATGCAATAGGCTGGGTGCCTGATTTAATGCCGAGCTCTTGAATTTACACAGAACCCCGAGGGATTATGAAGCCCTTATAGAAATTAATTGCAAATAATGTGCAATTACCAAATATATCACCCCTAAATGAGGCTTTCCTCTTTTGAGGGGGAGGTGTAATGCAAATGGCTTGGAGGCACAAAGCGGGCATTAAATTGCGTGGGAAGTCTCTCTTGGAGACTTCCTCTTGACACTGGGCCTCCCCACATCTCCCCAGTGCCCAGCGCGTCTCAGAGGAAGACGGTGGCAGATGTGAGTGTGTCAAGAACACAGAGTCCCCTGCTGGAGCGGCTAGAGTGGGCCACGAGAGGCCAAGGAAACCAAACCGGGCCATTATTCCATTATGAGAGGACAGAAACAGGCTCGGGGGTCGGGGGGGGGTATCCTTAATTTATGTGGAAAAGAGACGGTTTCCAGTGGAACCCAGGCCCCAGGAAGAGACCAGCCATAGATACGGCATTATACAACATACCCAGCTCCCGGGACACACACTGAAGTGCCATCTGCGGGGACCGAGAAGCCCTTTTGGAGGATTTCGCCTCTTTGGTGGGTTGAGCACCAATTTCTTCTCTATTGACCAGACATGCCCTTTTTTTAAACCACTGTTGTCAAATAAAGCTATTTTCCTCTCCTATATGTATTCTGCAGTACCTGAAGTGAAGGGAGACTGAATTTCAACACCCGGAGGATAGATCCCAAGACAACATCTGGAGTTTGCTCCTCCACAAGCACCTGTGGAATTTTGCAGGTCAGATGAGAGCAGCTGCTGTTTCCCAGTGTTCACCATGCAGGAGGATTAGGCCCTGCCCGGGGAGAACCCTCTTTGAGGTGCTTTTGTGGGCTTGAACTTAGAGCTGAGGATGCTAATGACTTTTTGGCAGTCTTACGTTGGTGAGCAGAGCGGCAGGCAAGGTTAAGGGCGACAGACACGTGAGGATTAAGGCACAGCGGGAGGTCTCCTCTTAAAAAGGGAAGAAAATGAGAATTTCCAATTGGCTGACACTTACCTCCTGTTCTCGCTGAAATATTACAACCCGACCCCCCTTGTCCCCTGTCGCTAGTAACTCTCCCGTGTGGTTGAATTCTACCGTAGAGATAATGTCAGCTGAAAAGAAAAAAGACAAAAGCAATTTAAGTAAGCGCACACTTACTTTGAAAGGGTAGATAATAGACACACTTTTCTGTGCATTTAAGGGCTTAGGGCTCCGGCTGTGCGGTGGAATTTACAGGGTTTCATGTTCTGCATTTTAAGCACCACTTGACGCAGCAGTTGGGAAATTTCCTAGGTGCCCACTGCACTGTGGGCGGCTCCCGGAATATCTCAGGGGACCAGAGGGGCAGGGCACGTGTGTTCACACCCTTTGTTTTGTGGAAGAGAAAGTGAATCCTTTCCCCTCATGGAAGTGGTGCTTTTCTTTGCTATTGTCACTGCCCACAGGCCCCTAGTCCAGGCTAGAAAGTCCCCCAGAACAGGTGTTAGCCTGAGGGAGGCGGGCTGAGGGTGTTGATGCTGACGCCAACCACAGGAGAGACCATAGAGGTCACCGGGACACCCCACTAGCACTGCTGTGTCACCCTGGCTCTCCTCTTGCGTAAGCCCAGAGCATCCCCTGCAGTGCACACCCTTTTCTAGGACAGGGCCCTGGAGAGGAGGTGTCACAAAGTCAGAGACAGGTGCAGGCACCAGGGACCCAGAGCATCTGTAGCTGCAGAAGGAATCTCAGCGTATATGCTGGCCACCCTGGTGGCCCAAGGGCAGGTGCGTTACCCGTGACTGGATTTATTAGGGCTAGTTTTAGAGAAAAAGAAAAGTCTGGGGCTAATTCCTCCACAGTTATTCCTCCACACGACTTCCACAGTTGGGGAGAGCACATGAGCATAGAGATAAGGAAAGACAGAGCATTAAAGGGAGGAAGGGAAAAACGACAAAAGAGGAAAAGAACTGTGATCGTGGCCTCTCTGACGGGGACTGGCCGGACCCTGAGCCCACAAAGGCCAGCGTGAGCTGAAAGTTCTGATGAGCTCAAGTCCCACACCTCACGGGTGCATCACCTTTTTATGATGATCTCTGTATGCCAGCTTTAGTCAAATAAGCGCATAAAGCTCTCCACCCGCTGCGGTGTCTTTTCCTTATCTGAAAATATTCTTAATTCTCACTCTTTGCTCAGAAGTAGAGAGAAGTAAGTCATAAGTCTTCATCACTTGCAGGTGAGGCACACTTACTAGATACAGTCCAAGCTTTATGTTGGCCCTATCAGGAGTCAGTTCAAACTCTACAGGACAAGGAACACAGAAGAGAGTCCCTTTTGAGGGACAGGTGTAACAGGGGACATGCTGCCTGAGGTCCTCAGCCTTTGAGGAATTAGCATCCAGACATTTAGATCTTATATTTTTGGCTGTAAGCCTAGCCTTTAACGGCTGAGCCATCTATCCAGCCCGATATTTAGATATTAATAGAAACATCTTAAATTCTATAAACTGATAATGTATTTTCTTTTCAGTATACGACAATAAAGACAAATTTTCTTGTTATGAGTCAGGTTCCCTCTAGGTAGCCCAGGTTTGACTTGGTATCAGATACATCACAGTCTAGTCTACAACTTGACATCTCCCTGATTGCCTTTCCTCAGATCTGAGATTACCAATCTATACCACCAAGCTCTGGGCTAAGGAAGGAAATCTTGTCCATAGGCTGAGGGGAAGGCTCGGTGGGTAAAGTGCTTATTGTGCAAGCCTAAGGAACTGAACTTGTGTTCCCAGCACACACACAAAAACGGAGTGTGACAGTGCCCATCTCCAATCCCCATGCTAGGTGGAGACAGGAGGATACTGGCACCTTACTGGTCAGCTAGCCTAGCCAATTCAAAAAATAAGGAAGGAGAGGGTTCACTAGGAGTAGGAGAGGATAAGACAGAGCAGTGAGAGGCTGTATATGATTGAAATACATTATACACATGTATGAAATTGTCAATAATTTTAATACATATTAAAGATATATAGAGATAGAGGAAGACAGTGAATGACAACCTCTGCATGGGACTGTGTAATTGCACACGTATATGAACACCACGCTCACACAGGCATATCCTCTCTATACACAAATCTTATCTAAGGGTCGCATATGGTTTATGGGTCAAGTGTCTGATTTCTGGCTTATAACCATCTTCACTTAGATAAGTCAACCTCATTACTTATTGATCTAAACTAGAAATCAATTCCATTTTCTCAGGAAATGAAGCACAGAATAAGCTAAACCCTTGATATAAGCTTGGAAGGTCAATCCCTATAACAGGCACCCAGGAGCTAAGGCATAGCAGATCCCAGCATGTCTGGAGAACTTGCCACTTTGTATAAAGTATCTGGTCACTTGTCTTCCTTATAGCTGGTGTATCATGGCAGCTTAACTCTGCTTGGAGGACAGGAGTCAGCTGTTAACTGTCTGCTGTTGCCTTAGAATGCTCTCTCTGAGGCGGTACTGAGTGTGTGCTGCCAACCTCGCTACTGCTTCTGGCTTTCAGTGAGGACAGGAATCTAACCTTCAGTGATGACAGCAAGAGCTTCCTGACCTGCCTAGAACGTAAGGTGGGTTCAGCTGCCTCTTTTTACTTTACAGCTTCTGTCAAGTACTAAGGAATGAAACATGCATGACTCTCCAACTGTTCAAACACACACACACACACACACACACACACAGAGAGACAGAGAGACAGAGAGACAGAGAGACAGAGAGACAGAGAGAGAGATTCAGGGGGTGGGGACAGAAACAGAGAGAGAGACAGAGGACATGTGAACAATGACGAGGTAATGGGGAGACCTGGTGACCGACCTCAATATGTAGTTCAGGCTCACCCTGAACTTGCCATGTGGTTTAGGCTGCCCTCAAACTTGCGGTCTTTCTGTTTCAGTCTCTGGAGTGCTGGGATTAAGGTTCTGCTTTTGTGAAGTTGACGCCCTTGTCTCGGGCAGCAACTCTGGACTGTGGGCTGAGGAGCCTCTCCACCTGTCTTAGCTAATGGCCAGTTCTTCCTTTTGGAGGAAGCTAGGTGTCAACATAGTTAGGTAGCTCGTCCAGCATGAGCCCTGGCTCACTGCCAAGAAAAGGCCATGCTCAGCAAAGCAAAAACTACTTGTAAATACACTGTTCTACCCAGACTCTGAAAGGTCTTTCTTTAAATCTAAATAGCTGAAAACAGGGCAGGGTTCAGGTTCAATCACATGACCTCAGCCAGCACCACGGGAATCTTCCATTATGAAAAATAAGGTATTGCCCTAGACAATAAAATGTGTGTCATTTGTTTTTGCAATGGCCCCCATTGTTCGGGGCTCTATCTTCCTTGAGAACCTTGCAAGAGAAAGGGTGACTTGAATGGCAGGAGCATGCAGTTCCTCTGTCCTCTTGCAAAGACTTTAGATTTGTTTGAATCCTGCCAGCCAGGCTGGTCGGTATAGGAGCTGCTGCAGCTCAGCTGATATCTGTTTTGAACTTCCCTGTTTCCTGACTCATTTATCACTACTAGGCAGCTAGGTATAGCTGGAAGACTTCACTGTCCCCTCCAACTCTCCTTATCTCTGTCTATGACTGCTTACTAATTGATAGAAAACTCACAAATCACCTTCACATTCCAATTTCAAAATACCCGGACTACAGATGCCCATTCTCTTGTCTATGAAACACGCTGCTAACCGGGAGCCTAGAAAGAAGGGGACCCAGGCACAACTGTAAGCTAGCAAATTTAGCTACAGCAACCACATCTCAAATCATGATTGACAGAAAGCAATCCTTCCCAGGCCATATGACTTTTACCGTAGGTAAGTTTACAAGATGACTCAAGATTGCATTAAATTTCATTACAATCTAATTGCACTATTGAGTACGAAACTAAAACCTCAAGCATTTTCCCTCCACTTTCTATATGGGTGGTGATAAGGCGCACAATGACGGAGAAACAAAAGCCCTCAACAGTGACTGGGGTCAAATGTGGTTATAGGGTTTCTAAAGAAAACCTGTGTGGTATGAGACTGGCCGTGCTCCCCATCTATTTGTGCTGATTTAATTTTCACAACACAGCGGCCTGCTAACCCTGTTTCTAGCTCAGTTGGCGCCGTGAAGCCTGACTTTTTTCTTTTAAAAATCAATCTGGGCACCTTACACAAGTTTTACACTAGCAATTTACTATATCAAGTCTCCATTTACCTCAACAATGGATATTGACCTGGCAGTTGTATTCACAAGATGGGAGGCTGAGGGGGACAGAGGGAGCCCTGTGATTATGACCTAGTCTCTCACAGTATCACGCCAGGCTGGAATCAGGGCAGAGTTCCTGGTCAAAAGAGATGCTTGTGTGATTGGGTGACATAGGGATTGGGGTGGCATTTTGATCAAAGGACAATGCCGCTTAGACTCAGAGCATCCCAGAGTCCACTGGTGGAGCCATTGCGCTGGCCAGGTCATTGGTACTGCCTCTGAACATAAATCGTGGTGATGGAAGTGAATGGGTAATACAGTCAAGCCTTATCTTTCATCTAAAACATGTTCCAAGGATGGGGAGCCATGTGCCCTACTGGATCAGCCATGGGGCCCTGCCCACTCAGGCCTGGGCTTTTGTTCTGATGATCAAGTTTGCTCTAGGCTTTTTTGTATCTCCACTTCAGATAAGGATGGAAAATGCACCTCACAGCATACCACAGTAGTGAAATGATGGCAGTTGCTAGGTTTCCATAGAAAAAAGGTGGGTGCATCACTATAGGTGAGGTGTCTTGAGTCATTGCCTGTGGGGACATCAGGAGAATGGACATGTGCACCCTTGCTATCCCTCTTTGGGACCTCCAGTTAGACTGATTTTGTGGGTCCTTAAGCAAATGGGGAGCTCTAGGATTTTCCATGGGAATCAATTACTCTTGTCTTTGTGAGACTCCTTTCCAAGCCTTGGTTCTCACTCTTCGGTCAGCACCCATGTTTTCAAGTCAGCTTTTCTTGGGTAAGCTTTGGTAATTGAAACAGTGCACTATGGTCCAACAAGAGGCAAGATACGAGCTACATTCTTGCTGTCTCCCCTCTATACTTCCTGTCTAACACAGACTTGGTTTCTATTATACAAATAGTGT